GCGTATATTCGGTAATATGTTTGGCTTGCTTGATCTATTTTTTGTTAATTTCCTAGTTGTAAAGATGAACAGACTTCGGCTGATGCAAACGAGGGCGGGGCATCTACCGGTGCAATGTCATATGCATTAATTCATGCGTAAGTCATTTCAATTATGTCAAAATTAAATCTTGTGTGGTTTTGTCTTTTTCATCCATTTTAATGCATTTTTAGGCTAGAAAAAAATGATCATCCAACGTACCAAGAGTTGTTGAACAATATTCGAGACATACTTCATTCGAAATATGTTCAGAGACCTCAACTTAGCGCGTAAATATTGTCCATTTATGAAAATCCGTTACTCTTATTACAAGGTTTATTTTGCGGTTACTAAATTTCGGTTCTCTGGTTGGTTGATTTAATTAGGTCGCACGAAATGGATATGAATTCTATCTTCACAATGTAATTTGGTTGGTGTGTTCTTTCCATTAGCATTTAAAAATTCAAATGCCTGGTAAGTTAAATGAGAAATTTCTTTTAACACCTCTCTATTCTATAAGGATCATTTCGAGACCTCGTATTTTTGTTGAGATCATTATTTATTTTTTTGTCAAGATCATATTCATTATTAAATGTATTATTAATTCCTTATTTGCTTTCCGTTCCTGACAATTTTGTGTAAATATTCTATCCCTCCCTCATAATTACGAGAGTTCGAGATGATGCATTGGGTACTTTTATAGCTATTATAAATTTGAACCATCTTGTGTTAGTAAATATTGATGATATTTTAAAGTTGAAGATCCTCCAAGTCTATTTGTTCATTTCACTTTGCATAAAAAGATGACCATGAATGATTTATTATTTATATAAATATCAGATAATTCGGAAACACACAATTTACTTGTTTATCGCTAATAACCAACCAAAATGAATAATATCAACATACACTTTTCGCAAACGGTTGAGTCGAACCCAAATTTTTCTCAAGGTACTTTAAAAAAAAAAAAACGATTACTCGTTTTTACTATTCATCCTCAGGGTCAATGAGCGCCACGTTTTTTCCACCGCCAACCACCACCCGACTCCCACTTTTCA